AAATTTTCACAAAGAAGCATAATCTACTCTCTTTAAGAAAAAAATTAGTGTTAAAAAATTATAAATTAGTTTAAAGAAGGATGGTCTATAACCTTCAAAAATAAAATAATAGAAGTAGGATAATCCACTCACTTCTAAAAAAAATAAAAATAATGAATTATGGCTCTTATTAAACTATTAAGGCTATGAATCTCAAGGAATAAAAAAATTAATATACTTTTGTGTAATTCAAAAAAATAGATATCTACACAAATTTAATATAGTATTGAAATTGAAATAGCTATTAATAAAGATAAAAAAATAAAAAAATCTTGAAACAAGACTAATGACTAGCAAGACATTGACAAGAGTAAAGGAGGCTTCATTTTCACCTCTATATATATTATCTAATTAAGAGCTATATGGCAATGTTCAATATGACCTTCCACACATGTCCAAATTCCAAATCACATGTCTTAACTTGCAAGACAAGTTTTTTATATGTAAGCCATATAATTAGCTTATTCTACAAGCTATCAACACATGCAATACATGGCTAACTTGTTGACTAAGTTTCTAACCTATCAATCAACTATAAACACTTGAAAAATCAAATCCACATTTGTAAAGCTTTTGAAAAGCTTTTTCATAAGATATAATTTAATTAATCTATTTTTATCTACTTCTATTTAATTATATATATATAATTATTATAATATATATATATATATATATATATATCCATAATACATGTTAATCTCCATCCCTACAACCAAAGCAAAGACAATGCACTTACTCAACTTCTTTTATATGTTCATCCTAGCCTCGAGACTAGTAATGAACTATAATAAGTCAAGGATCTATTATAATAGTAAGCATGATCCAATCCTTAATTGGACATGTAAAACATGGTGGAAATAAGTGTAATGGAGAGCCTAATAAAGTTGTTGGATACTTCTTTTGGGCTTTCTCCCAACACCTCAAATATTGATAGTTTTTTAAAAAACCAAAATTTAACAAAAATTCATCTTTTGAGCAACCTCAAAGCTATCATTGGTAGTCCATTGAGTTATCATTAACTAAATCATTTCTTTGCCATTATGGTACTTTATAGTTGTTTAGAAAGCTTTTAAAAAATTATAAAATAAAGTAAAGTTTTTTTTATAGAACTACCTCTAAAGTAGTCAAAAATACTAGATGTAGTTGAAAATGGTATGATTGACATGTATTCTAAAACAAAAAGTCAAAAAACTAAGTTCTACTAACTCCAAAGATACTATGAACAACTTACTTAATAAATGGATTATTAAAGCTATTATGTCAAAAACTCCAATTTATCCGCTTTGCTATAATTTTGGCTAGTATCATATCAACCTACCAAAGATAGGATGTGGAGTCTAGATTTCAACTAGAGAATGACTATTGAAAATTGTCACTTGAGAAGATCTAAAATATAAATGCAAATAGGCAACGCATGGTAGAAGGTAGTGAAAGAAGTTAAGTAGAAGACACCAATCACTTACAAAGAAGCAAACAACATAAGAATCTAGTTCAATTTAGAATTTGCAACCTCCATTTACCTCATATTCACATGACAATAAGCAATAAAATATTCAAATAAAAATATAAATACTTTCAAGATTGTAAGACATTAGACCAAGATTGTTACATTATATGAGAAGAAGCAAGGACATGGTTCTAATTACATGATTGTAAAAAACAAAGATAGCAGATTTTTATACTTGCCATCAATTGAGAACTTTGTAGACTCATATAATATAATTTACATATAACAAGTGTTGGAAAGTAGCTTAGAATATATGTGCAAGATGCCTCCTATACTCCAACTTTCATAATATAAGTCATATGAAACTTCTACCTTCTCTCTAGACAAACTCTTACAACGTCCTTCACTATTTTTATTTCTTCCATATTTAAGGTTTAGGATCTATGTTGTCAATTGCACAAACAAATCAATTGCATCATATATTGATTGCCACTAATTCTTTCTTTTAGCACCAAGGATGCCAAACTTGCTGCCACAAATACAAATATAAAGATAATAAACAAGTTAATTTTTAATTTTAACTTTTAAAAAATTCATAGGTGAAATAAAAAAATTATTTTAAAACATGAATTCAAAGTACTAAATGTAGTCTTTATATTCTCTTCAATAATATTACTTTTGATCTAAAAATATTATTCAAATTTTTAATTACTTTTATATAAGTTATCATTAAACATATTTTAATGAACTTCTACATAATTTATTAAAATATATTTAATGATAACTTAAAATAAGGCTTCTTAGGGAGTTTTTAATACAATGGTCATAAAAAATCATTCAATATTTTTATGAGCATATTTGGGATAATATGCAATGAAAATTTAGATAATGAATAAATTCATTGAACTTGGCAATAATGCAAATTGTGTAATTTAACAAGAAACTGAAGATTCTCAAAGTAGTGTATCAAGTCCCATCACCCATGATTCTCTTCTTTAAATATATCACTTTCAAAAAATTCTTTGCTATAAAACTCATGGTTCATCTTTGTAACAAAAACTTATTAAGAATAATATAAAATGTTTTAAAGTTTTAAACCAGAACATCTCTAAATTAAAAATGTATTCATATGCTCTAAAAAATATCTCTTCTAATCAACTGTTTTGATTTTGCATAAGATTGTAACTACCTCAACAACCAATTCTTCTACAAAATTTTACTTGATAAAGTTGATCAATTTATTTTGCTTTTAGTTCCTACATCTCATTGTGTTTCATGATCCTCACATCACAAGCATAGAAACAAGAAAGCCTCTTTGAAAAGCAATGTTGAAATATATATATATATATATATATATGATACTTGTTACATCAAACAATAGTAATCCTAGATCCACAGTGTCCATTACTGGCGGTGCAAATAACAACTCCATGTGTTATTCTCTACTTGTTAGAATCAGCAGAATCAGAACCAAAGCTCTTGTTTGTGTATTCTGCCACAACTCGGTTTCCTCAAAACTACCACAACTTCATTACTTGCAAAACATGAACAAGATCAGGAGTAGGTGCAACTTATTTGCATAAAACATTACTTTAATAAAACTGCTTAAAAACTAGAAACAACGTCCGTGACACAGCCTGACATGTACCACTGACTCCAGTCGCAAGTGATGTAAGTCACAGGAGCGGATTTAGCTTCTGGTTAATTAGCAACATAAATGCGCTTCGTGTATGCTGCTAGTTACTGCAATCATAAGCCAGCATTACGACACAAATACTGTGTAAGCTTCCAGTAAATGCTCAATCATAGCTTGTCATATATAAGTGGCAAGCACTGCCCTCATAAACAAAGGGGACTTCAAGCGACTCTAACTCTCAGTTGCCTCTCTCAATCGCCTGATCGTACTGCAAACAGTGACCGCAGCAGCCGAGTTCAAGGTGTACGCACCTCCGGCTTTAACTTTGCCACAATCCTTGCAGTTCCGAATGCCGACAGCTTTCCTCTTTACTTCAAACTTCCCACAGAAATCGCACAAATATTTCGAGTGCTAGCTGACTTCCATTTCTTAACCTGTTTCCTCAAACTAGCACCATGTCGGGTACCATACTTCCCGATGATTCCAGCTTTCTTCGTATGCTTGGTCATGGTGGGGAATCCAACTTGTGAAAACCGCTCGGGGTTGAGAGACGCTCGTCCGGCCAGTCGTCAACCTTACTTGAACTGCAACAAGAATAGCCCGAGATGTGAGAAAAATGCAGCGCCAAAATCTGCGCTGCAGGCGTTTTAGACCCCAAGTATGGGGTCTAGTGATAATAGGAAGACTAGTGATAATAAGAGTAGATTTGCAATTATCAAGAATACAAGGGTATTCTTGATAGTTCCACAAGTTTCAGGGGTATGTATGATATTTTTTCTAAATCATTTGATAATAGGTGGGGTAATATCACGATAATTTAGCATTTGGCAAGGTAGGCTGATCAGGTGGCGCCTCCATAGACATCACATCAATGGCAGGCCCGATCCCCAGGGGTTGTAACATACTGATTTTGGGTCCATAGCTGAGTCCTGTCTGGTTGGGATTTCTGAGTCCCGTTTAGACCAGAACACCTTGTAAGGACCCCCTGCAATGAAACTCATTTCAGTTGTGCCAAAAATATAATATAATATAATAAATAACACTAAATCCTAAATCCCACCTCACATTCCACCAGCTCAGAATCATAGAAACAGAAAAAGCAAAGCCAAAACCCTAAATTCCGTGCCCTTCCCTCCTGGTCAACGCCGCCCATCATCGTGGAACGCCAGGCTCTGGTGTGTTTCACCCAAATCCCTTTGACTGTAGTGCCGCTGACTTTAAAATCACCTGGCTGACTAAGCAACGGGAGAGAAGGCCAAGGCCACATGGACGACGGGGAGTGGGCCGGACCCCAAGTATCGAGTCCAGCTCAGCAGCTGAAAAGAAGAGGCGGAAGCAGCATCCAGGAAACTTTCCCCTCTCTCTCCCATTATGAACCCTCGAACTCTTACTCGCAGTCTGGCTTTTACTCGCACTCGGAGATTGGTGTGGCGGTTGCCGTACTTTGCTTTGACCCTCTGCTACGGCCCCTGCACGTGCCCTCGTTTAATTCCGCAATATTCCAACGTGGAGGCTGGACATGCTTCGAATCTTTCCCATTCTGAATTCGTGCGCTGATTGGCTGCGTATCTGAGTTTTCCATATGAAATTTGGCTTCCAATGCGGAGAAAATTCGTTTTGATGGTGTGCTGCTTGTCGTTGAGTTGGTTACTGTGTTTGTCAGTGAATGTGGGTATTTACATTGTGTGTACTGGAGCTCATGAACTCGCTGATGGAGATGTCAAAGACGTGCTGGAATTCCATTCACTTGGAAAATCACGTCAAACAGTGGCGATGTGAATATGGACCCCTAGGTGCGAGAGTTTTTCTTCAATATCGGTGGAAGCTTAACACATGCTGGTCGCAACGGTGATTACCCGAACATTAAAAAATCTGAGATAACGATGACGATAGGCGTTGTTGAGAATATTAACACACAAGTGATTACTCAAAATGCTTTATATCAGCGACGGTACATCCGGCAGCTCAAAGACAGTTTCTACGTTTCTCGTAGTGTCGATTACTAAGGCGTGATAGTAATGGCGTGGCGAGCACTACTCTATCGTCGATCATTAGCAAAAAAATAAAAAATTGTAGCATTCTATACTACGCTGCGTTCGCCAAATCTTAATCCAGGCGTGAGGAAAATTAGGTTGGATAAAATTCCCAACATGTATTCGATCTTGTTGCTCCAACCAGGACATGTCTTCGTGCAAATGGTGCCGCTCCCGCCAGTTCTGGGCTCTGATCCACGGACGGCTCCAAAGACTAAAGTGTGTGGGTGGTGGGAACAACAAGAGATGATCATTCAACAGTCCCCTTCGACCGTTTTTAAAACAATTCCTTCAAGATCGGGGACGTTCGACAACCACTGCTAATCACAGACCAAGCCGTGGGGTCTGCTCCTTATCATGACGGTCATCCTCCAGGCAAATTAGTTACAATCAAATGAGCTTAGCATGAACGTTATGAGTGCGCACAAGGGCTGCGCGTCACACCGATCATATGCAAACACAACACACTCTCATACCGAAATCACTGCGCTATATCAAAATGCAAGACATCTGCAGGATCGTGTTGGCGCTGAAATGTGAAGTTCGAGAGACGAAATGTGTTGTTGCACGTTTTTCGAAACTCAATCATCCAGGGAAGCCCCAGAGGTTGTCAAACTCCCAGAAATCCGAATCGCCGGCGCCTTCCGCAGCCCCAGAGGGAACGATGATGATCTCCTCAATGTTGGGCGACATCGGAAGATAAATTTCTTTCAATCCATGCAACAGACTCTGAACATCCTCCTGTTGGCGCACCATCAATTCCTCCACCTCCTCGATCTTCAACGGACCGTCGACGTTGGGAGCCTCGGGGTGGACAGAGTCTTCGGCAAGCACTGGGCGGTTACTGGATTGCCTCTCCTGCTGCGTTATCATCTTCCGACACTCCTCGCAACATTCTCTGCAATGTTCCACAATTACAGGTGCACCGGTGGTCGAGTATCCTGAAGAGTCCCCTTGCCCGAGCACCCTTGACTGTACTACTGGATCAAGTCCCCCCTCGCGGGATTCATATGTGAGATTAGATGCGAGCATGGGAGTATCAGTCAGAACTTTTAATAACTCTTCCCCAGAGGATTGTTGTAGAGATCCCGATTCCTTGCTGGGGTCCTTGGTGGGGCTTTGAGGTGTGGAACGAGGGGGATCGTTTGCAATGTGCTCGGAGCGATCCAGGTTAGCACGCAAAGAGACAGCGGTGGCGTCAGTATGAGTATTAGCCAGGGAAGTCGGAGTCGCAGCAGCAGCTGCCGCCGCAACCGCTTGAATTTCTCGAGGAGAAGGGCAGAGAGGGAGAGAGGAGGGCGGCGAATCGGGAAAATTAAGAGTTGCCTTGGGCCCACGAAGACACAACACCGCGGCATCGTAAGCCCTCGCGGCCATTTCGGCTGTGGGGAACGATCCCAGCCAAATGCGAGACCGTTTATTCGGTTCGCGAATCTCCGAAACCCATTTGCCCCACGCACGCATGCGCACTCCTCTATACTTGCTCACTGGTAAAGCGACGGCCTCGAAGGACTTCTGATCACTTGCAGAAGAGGATCCTGCCTGCAATTCATCCGTTGGTTTCTTAGAGCTCATCCTTTTGAGCTTCTTCTTCCTGGGCTTCAAAAACTCGATGCCGCGGTGATAACCTGGTGTGGTCGTAATAATTCGCTGCTTTTCTACCATGATCTCCGCTCATTTGCAAGAAAGTGATGGGCGATTTACAAAAATAAATTCTCGACTCATCGCGGACTAATTTTGAGCCAAGGACGGTGAGCGCGTCGGCTATGCGCTGAGCATTTTAAATCTGTTAATCGAAGGAAAAAATCTAAATACATAAACAAATCCAACGAAGTAAAATGAAAATGAGTACCAGACTCACAATTTCAGTGATAATTCTTTGAAGCTGGTATGAGTGAGACAAATTCGCAATCCCTCTAAATGAATTTGTCCCTATGAAAGTGGAGATTGGAAGCATGAAAGCAGAGATTCAGATTCATTCCAGTGGCCTGAGTTAACAGAGATACGATGACACGCCCAATGCCAAAGCCTAAGACTAAATCCGCGGAGGATATGATACTAGAGCCAGCCCAGGAGCCTTGTGGCACGGAAGAGTAAAGTCGATTTTCTTTTTCTAAGGATGCTCATTTGATCCCCGTGAATTCTAATTCCTTGAGAAAAACAGACGAAGAGCGGATTCCAACTCCTCTTTGTCCCGCGGTGCCCTCATTTGTGAAGCAAAACGTAGTTTTCTTCGAAATGGATCGCTATATTGTACGCTTCGCCATCTATCTCTCACCAAAACAACTCAGGCAATCCCAAAATCCCAGTCCTATCACTAAATTTCACTCGTACTCCGTCTCTCAGAATCTCTTCAATCCCACTCAATATGCACTGTCTCGAGCACATTCACCTCGAGATCCCTCTCGCTCTCTTTCTCTCTCTCCAAACTCCTCCCTCTCCCCGTCCCCCCAAATCGATCAAATCCAAAATCTAGTCAAAACCAAGTCCAGCATCTCGGTCGAAAGAGTGCACACAGCGACGCTATGTCAAACTGCCAGCTCGTCCTGACGATCTACACTAAGAACTCACCAGCTTCTGTCACAGTTTCCCCGCAAGGGCTCAACAAAGGTCGGGTTGAAGTGGGCTGGCAAGACGACTCATGAAAGTACTCATGAACCGCAGAATGATCCGACATCACTTCATGCCTTGCTCCCACACACTACAGCTGCGGCGGCAGTAGTAGCAGCAGTGGCAGCCAGCAACAATGCAGGAGTTCAAAATCTTCTTAGATAGCGATTGACTCGGTGGATTATAAAAAAGTACCAATCTGATTTTAGGGATGTAGGCCACAGAAACACTGCTGGGTGGGGGGGTGATATCGGGAGACAGCCTCCCACTCCGCGTCCGTCTTGTGAAGCGTGCCTTCTGGAACTCACCTCCCCCACCCCCTAAAAATAAAAACACTTCTTCGTGGCCGGGAACGAACAAAAGGAAAAACAAAAACAAAAACAAACAAAAACAAAAAGACAAAAAAGACAAAAACATAAAAAAAAGGGGTCGTCGAGACTGTTACGGCGTGTAAATTGTGCCAGACATCGACGAAACGAGAATGAAGCACTTTCGGAGCCTTTTTGACGCTGGCTCAGACAACAAGTATCCCCACCCCACCCCCCACTCCCCTTTGCGATCGTTTCACTGGCCCATGGTCAAGGAATCAGCAGCACTGCCAACTCCAGATTCGTCCTCTAGGTCGGAGGAGCCCCATTGCACCCCCTGCTCTCGGATCTCCCTCCCTCGCTCACATTCACCTCGCGACGGAGCCCGCGCTTTCCCCTCCCCCCGCCATCTACGCTCCTTCTCCCGCCGTCCTTTCGTGGATGAGACCCCTTGTTCTCATCCTATCGAATACTTTCATCGACATGGATGATAACAGCACATCATCCCTTCTGCTTGCGTTTGTTCCTCACAACCTCATCTTGCTTGTGTCAAATTGTTTTGCAATATTGTCGTGGTTTGATATTAAATACAGATGTAAAATATTTAAGTACAGATGTATTGAATGGATGCAAAGTGACCAATAATTGAATCCACAATCAAATATCAAACTACATCAAGTTTTAACAAATGTAATCATAAAACTTTTTGTTAGCATTGAGTAATGTATCAACATATATATATATATATATATATATATGCATATATATTTAAATCAGATAGAATCACAAAGTCGTAAAACAAATACGTAATTTCTAAATATAAATATACAAATAGAAAAAATATTTAAATCAAAGGAAATAAAATTTGAAGCTATTACTATTGAGTATCAATTTTGAATCCATCTAGATTAATTGCATTAGATAAAAATAGTGAATTCATCATTCGGTATATTTTACAAACTAAATTTAACATAATACTTTTAATTTTTTTAAAGATATCTTAAATAAATTATAACTCTTACTAATCAAAAATTAACTTTAATGAAGTAAGACAAGCCATCTATTAATTCGAAAAAATTACAAATAAATTTAAATTATTTTTTCTGTGTTTTGGTTTATATATATATATGATCATATCATTTGATTTTTCAACAAATAACTTAATAATGTAATCAAGGAATTAAAATTTAAAAAAACTATTATCATGGTCATGATGATAATAAGAATAATAATAATCATCATCATCATATGAGTTCTGAACATATAATAATTTTATTTTAGATTGACCCATCACTCAATACATGTATTAAATGGAGGGATTATTTTAATACTGTTTTTTATTTTAAAATTAAAAAAACAAACAAACATATTTAATATTTTTGTATCTTTACATTTCTATGTAATACACAATTTTTTCATGAAAATATTTGTTTTGTTACATTGCACATAATAAATCTAAAACCATACTAATCTCAAGACTTTAAACAACCAAAGCGTGATAAACCCAATGAGAACAAAATAATAATGATGACTTGGCCGCCTGCCAAAAGATTACGAATACAAACAACCCTAACTATGAAAATGAAGTAAATCAAAACCACTATTTACTAGGAATAAAATCCCAAAACAAAATTCTCCACTTCATTGAGGTTTTATCGTATTTGTAGTCTAAAGATCCACAAACTAAGGGATCCAATTACGAACCCAAGTCCTTTTATTGCGTTTGAGCAGTAATAAAAAAAAAAAAAAAAAAAAACATGTGTTATATATTCCCTCATTCTATTTTTCCCACCACCATTCAATTTGCCACATGATTAACATACACTCCATTTAGAAACTTTTGTGGTTGTTCCCCCCTCTCCACTACATGAAGATTCCATATTTGCCATATGGATTGGATATGGGTCCCCGCGTTCACACGACCGTAAAACTACAATTCCATGCAAGGCTTTACTAATCGGAGCGAAAGCAAAGTAACACACTCCGAGGGGATCGAGAACAGGAGTGGGAACGACGTGCGAACAGACATCACCAGAAGTCGATCGAGGTGACGGGCCATCATCTAAACCGTCCGATTACGAACGGGTGCGATGTCACCGCCCACAGTCCCTTTGCTCTCCTTTTTAAAATCTCAGATGACTCCAAAAATTACCTTTCTACTGCTCTAAATGTGGATGGATATCGTCCATCCGTCCATGAGTGCCGCCTTGATCCGGCACTTTCTCGCCTCGTTCTCAAACTCCACCATCGTGGTCGAATCCTCACCGTCGATTAGATCCATGTCTATTGGCTATACTTTACCGTCCATTGTTAAGATCTGCGGGCCTCATAGATGACGTGGAATGAGAACGTGGCGATTATGCAAATGTAAATGTAGTCCTAAGCTCCGTAGTGTTTTAATTAAGAAGCGTGTTTGAGGCCGTAGATTTTAGATCCACGATTAAGGGTGGGAATGAATCCACGCCTGCTTCGACTTACGAGGCGAGCTTTTGGGAAGGTTTGGCATTGGTCAGATTTCTTGCCCTGGAATAAAACAATTTGAGGCAGTCAAAGTAGAATTAGGTCACATTCATCACCGTTGTTTTGACTGTAAGCGTCCAACATTTTCTTGTGAGTTTTGTGTCCTTACAAAACTACAAAAGAGCCCTATTTAGAAATGATATCAAAAGTTCCTTTTTCACCCAAGAATGTTGGACGCTTACGGTCAAAACAACGGTGCAAAAATTTGAGTTCGTTACTTGTATAACGATATACAATTAATTCTTAAGAGACTAACTTTATTAATATTCGAACTAACTAAAAAATTCATGGCAGAGGATAACCACCAAATATGTTATCAAGTCATGAAACTATGAGATATTTTTGACATTGTACTTTGAATTTTTAAGAATAATGGCAGGATTTGAATTCCTCTTATAGTACTCTATTATTGATTCAAAATGTACAATCCTCTATCTCCTCTACTTATCCTTCTCATATTTCAATACTTAAACAAACTTACATTCACAATTTAATGTTCTTAATCTTATAAATTAGGAGACAATTTTAAATATTTTAGAAGACCTTCTATCTTTATTAATTTTCTACTTATAAGTAAATAAAATCAGTTAAGAGCATTTGATAATTGTGTTGAGGACATCAAACTCCTCATTTGTTTTCTTTTGGTTTTCTGCAAAGAAATAATGTCTTTTAAATATTTGGCAATTTAAAAGTCTTGATATCTTTAGTCATAAATTCTAGTACTTATTGTTAAAGATGTAGGTCGCACTTGTATATAATTTATGAAAGCATAATATATACACATTTAAATTGAAAGGCTAATTGTAATATCTAGTAGTAATATTATTGTAACTCCTATTAACTTTTATATTTTTAACTTAAAATGTTATCTTTTGATGTGCTTGTTTAGAATCTTAAATAAATGAGCTTGAATCAAATATACATGTTTGCATTCAAAAAAAATAAATGCTAAATTAAAAAATTAATTTGTATTAAAAAAATTTAACATAATATAGAAAAAGACTTGTTCTTTTTTTTCAGTTTTATTTTAAGGTATTGCTAATGTCATTGCAATTATTGCTATTGCCACCACAATTTGCTACCCATTCCACATATTTTTTGACTTTTTTTTTCTTTATTCCATTCTTTTTGCATTTTTTTAAATCAAATTATTAAAAGGATACTAAAAAGAGGAAATTTGATGAGTCCTAAAGCTATTTAATAAAAGTGTCATGTGGTGGATGAAGAGTTATAGTAGTATTATCAAAAATTGTGGTGGTATTAGCAATAAACTTATTTTATTCTAAAAATAAAGAATATATATAATAATTCTTAAAAACATACTAGAAAATTTCTCTCCCTTTTTTTTTTTTTTTTTTTTTTTTTTTTCTTCTTCTTCTTCTTTTACAGTATTACAAAAATGGACTCTTTGACATACCGATACATCTTTGCAGTAATATTTATTAGGAAATTGAAGTGTTCTATACAAATCCAAAATTAACATTTGCCACATCATACAATAAAGTTCTACAAATTTTTATTATTGGTATTTTTTTATCTGTACAATTTTAAAACATAATATTAAAAACAATCAAATTCTTTTAGTCACAAAGTTTTTATTTTATTTTATTTTATTTTTATTATCTTTCAAAAGCACAACCCTTTTCAGTATCAATTTGTAGTAATATATTTAACAATATCAGTAAGCATTTTTATATTTATGTGTATAAAATCTGAAATGCCATAGGAAGTCTTGATTTATTTGCAAAATGAGTTGATTGACTTTACACATAGTTCTTTGGTTATTATTTTCGCACTTTTAAATCATTTAAACCAAAAAAAACCCCGCCAAGTGATATTGTACACATTGAAATAAACTGTAAAAATCACCTGATTGGTCTACTTTGAAATTTTGTAATCATTAACAATTTAGCTAATTCTGTATGGTACTATTACACTGTTGGTTTGATTCTTCTTTTAAAAAAAATTATTGTAAGAAATGTTTTTATTTGATTTGATTTTTTTTAATGCTGTAGAATAATTTACTTTTGGATATTACAAACTGTCTTGACTTTGAACACAAAAGACCATACTCTAAACTTCTCCTAAGAAAAATATTTTCTCCCCTCAAGTTCGGCATTATTTGGAGCAGAAGATTCTTATTTTTATTATTAATTGAAAAAGAATTAACATGAGAATCATGTGGAAACCTTCATATTCTTAAAAAAAATTACCAAAAGATTCAATCAAGACCATTGTTTTTGTTTGTTTTTTTCTTTCTGTATTATAGAAAAAATAAATATGTCTAAAAGATACAAACAAAGAAGATACATTTTCGATAAAACACAAGGCCCAACCTCCTATAATTACATCCTCGTTCTAACCTTCAAAGTTTTCCCAAGATTAGGAATTCAAAACTGACCAATGCATGGGATATTAGACATGAATGCTCCATGAAATAAGTTCCGATACTCACCACGCTTTTAATAAAAGACAATTATTTTCCTTCTCAT